TGGTCAAAATATATCACATACTCATGCCAAAACATCAGATCTACTTATTGCTAATGTCATACACCGGAAGGAAGAGTTATCGAAACAAACAGTGAGAAACACAGTACAAATAGTAGGACAAGTACCTATCTAGTTCTTTTCTTAGACCTCAGATTTTCTGCTATCTGATCCTTTGAAGTGGAGAAGCCAGGGACTGAACCCAGGGCCTTTTGCAAGCAAAGCATCTCCAGTTACCCCTTCCATAACAGACATGCATACACACAGAGACCTTCCCCTGGTCTGTTCTGTGTGCCAACAGTATCATCAAGGATATTGCCCAAGATTTTTCCAAAGGGCCATGTGAATGACTCGGAGACACGTTGGGAGAAAAACAGGAACACAGAAAGGTGCCTTCTACTTATTCAAAACTTTGATTCATCTAGTCCAGTCTTGTCAATTCTGGCAGGCAACATTTCTCCAGGGTTTTAGGCAAGACTTTTTCCTAGACCTACCTAGAAACCCCTAGTATTGCCAGGTGTTCTCCCACCCTACTTAGCTTCCAATATCTGAGCAGGTGTGTTCTAGGAGGCATGATGGTACCCTATGCTTAGACTGGGCTCTGGTGTAATAGGGCATCTCAAGACTGGATCATTCCCTCAGTGCTGTCAAATGGGTTATGTGGTGCTTCTGAACAGGACATGAACATTGGGGGGGACCCACAAGTGTAACACTTGGTCTGCATTCTCCTTCCTTTCATTTCAGCTTGCACTTTAACTTAGGAAAAAAATTCCCTTTAACTATATCAGCTCAATTTTCTAGAGAGAAGGGCATGTAGTCCATCCACTCCCTCCCTCCCTCCCAAACAAGGATCTTCAGCTAGAGCTCATAGACTCTGTTGCCTATGAGCAGCTCATCTACCATTGCAGCTACTGTGTTTCCCCGAAAATAAGACAGGGTCTTATATTAATTTTTGCTCCAAAAACGCATTAGGGCTTATTTTCAGGGGATGTTTTATTTTATAGTCATGTCATCTTCTGGTTGCTGCACAATCCTGCACAATGGTAGAGGGCGGGGTTTCACTTAACTAGGGCTTATTTTTTGGGTAGGGCTTATATTACGAGCATCCTGAAAAATCATACTAGGGCTTATTTTCAGGTTAGGTCTTATTTTAGGGAAAACAGGGTAGCTGCTCTGTGGAACTTAATGGGGCATTTGATGTCCTCATTAGCAGGGAAACAGACTCATTTGTGTCTGCTTCTTAAGATAGCTCCTAAGTGTCTCTTAGCCAAGGCTGGAGGAGTTTTCAATGTGCTTCCTAACTCTATTATACCTAAGATACAGCAAACAAATATTAAACCTTTCTGTGCTGGCCCCTGCTGTTGTTTTCTCTATTAGCATGTTGGAATTTATATTGCCCTGCAGCTCTGTGGACTTTATGTGATTGCAGTGAGTGGGACATGGGGTTGTCACCTGATCTAATCAGGTTGTCATTTTGTTAACTGGCCAGTTAAAACTCATGGGGGAGGGGTGTAACCCACAACCAGCCAGTACCTCAACAGCGACCAACTGGGTGTTCCTGGTTTATTGTTTATTGATTATTATATAACTGCTCTATTTATGCTCACCTTGCTCTAATCAGCTTAGGATATATGTCTCGCCTTCTTCTCACTTTGTATTGAAAACAACCCTGTGAGGTACATTACGCTAAAAAAGTATTACTGGCCCAAAGTCACCTCATGATTTCCATTACTCACTGATGCTTAGCTTAGTAACTTGTGCTAGAACAGATCCATTGGATCAGCGGGCATCAAAAATTCAATTGATCCAGATAGGCCTACTCTAGTGCAATTTAATACACTAAGCAATGGATTTCAGCCATTACGTGATTTGAAGCAAATGAAACAGCAGCAGTGGTAGTCTGTTATACATGCTCAGTCCCAGTCTGCTAGAGGGGACCGGACTCTTGTTTTGGCAGCTGTCCTTGGTGCTGAAATCATTGCTGTCTCCTCCATGCTCGGTTGCTAAATTGTACCTGTCAGGATTGTTGACCTTTATTCACCAGGACTATTTGGGATCCTTTTGAGGAGGAAAACTACAGCTCTGGAGATGGCTCTAACACAGTAGAAGGATAATAGGTCTGTAGAAGGCACCTGCCTCTTGCTCTCTTCCCTCTCTCCTTCTGGAGAACCACTTTGACGATTCCTGATGAGATTTTTCCATTTCACAATTGTGAGTGTGCATGTGTTTCTCAGGAACTGTTCTCATATCTGCCCCCTTGCTTCTGAATGTCCCATCCTTTGATGCAATAGTTGCTTTGCAAGCGTACAACCTCAAACAGAAAAAGTTAAGTCTGTTGAGTAATACTCTTTCTACTGTGGAAGGATGAATCACAGGGATGAATCACAAGGAAGAATGTAGAGTGGCATTTGCCACACTGGGATGGACAGCTTTCCAACATTTACTATATACTATATACAACATTTACTGTATACTCTGGATGCACCCAGCTTGGAACAGTCTGTCTGCCATGAGCTTTATTTTATGGAGACAATGACACATGCAACAGGGTACTATCGGTACTTTTGTATGACAAGCAAATGTGTAAAATGATTAGACTGGCATACAGTAGCAGCCTAGAAGTCTTGTTATTTGTATTACTCAGGATTTTCTCCCCTTTCTTTGTTTATAAAACACCAAAGTGAGCTTCTTGGCTGAGTGGAGATTTAAGCTAGGTCTCTCCAATAGTGTGCAGGCAATAGTGTGACATAGTAGTTAGTGCTGGTCTAAGACTATGATTAAGCTTGGTCCTAGACCAACATTCAGTATTATATCACACTATTGTCTGCAGTAGCAATAGTTGACTTGTTACATCTTCATGATGGCATATGGCATTCATGTAACTCAAGAATCCTGGAGAGTTATCACTTTCTAATGTCAATGTTCTGTTTGATAGGAGAGTCATGGGCCATTTGCTGTGAGCACAAAGTCAAAAAGAATCACTGAGTCTAGAAGCCCACAACCCATGAAAAAACAAAGCCTAGCATTTCTAGCATTTGAGTGGATCTTGTGGTAGTTTTTGTGACTAAATTAAAAATTCCCTGTCAATGAATTTCTCTTGTGGAAATGTGATTGATCAATGAAAAGCTGATTGCTGATCACCTCAGAACTGTGCTGCAGATTACAGCCACTGTGGTTAGTTCAAGGGACAGATTGTTAGAAGTCGAGACAGGAGACCATGTTGACCAAAGCAATCTGCATTGGAGGAGAACATTTGGAGTGAGGGCATCGGCATTTGTGGTGGAGAGAGGAGAATGTACTTGCATTTACTGTGTCTCTGACTTAGAGTGGTCTTAACCAACCAGATAGGCGCTTCGCCATTTGTGGTGGAGAGAGGAGAATGCATTTACTGTGTCTCTGACTTAGTATGTGATAAACAGGCACCTACATGAGGTGGTGGTGGGGATGAATAGACATGTAGTGGACTGCGTTTTAACTACTGATAAAATCTAAAGGCATATGTCTTAATTCTGACATAGAATTAAATGGAATTACTAGCAGATTTGAGTGTCTCTAGAGTTTCTCCAGTTCTGTGTGCCACTGCTATCTCCATGCTTTGTAAGATGAATCAGTCCCACCCTGTTACAGGACTGACCTTTCTGGTTGTGAGAAATTGAACTGAATCACACATGAACAATAAATTGGCACTTTAAGATGTAAAGGGATTTTCAGATGTTCGGTGGACTCAGAGCAGATTCTTGTTATCTTACGCTGACAGCCAAACTTTCCATCCTATAGCTACTGCGCAAACCTTGAGCGTATCCATCAATACCATCATTATCATGGGCGATCGAGTACATTCTGACTTATGGCAACCCTTTTTCAGGGTTTTCCAGGTAGAGGATACTCAGAAATAGTTTGTCATTCCCTTCTTCTGGGGGCACTCTGGGGCTGCGCAACTTGCCCAAGGCCACACAGGCTGGCTTTACTAGCAGGAAGCACAGTGGGAAATTGAACTCCTTACCTCTGGCTCTGCAGTCAGATACGTAAACCACTGAGCTATCCAACCAGCACCATAATTGGTGACAAATTTTTGTGACCAAAGCCAGTTCTTTCCCCTTTAGCCCTCAAGATTTTTTTTTTTAAAAAGGGAGGGGAAGGAATTAGCAAACCTGTCACCAATGATCACAGGACCTGCTTGGAATAATAGCAGCCAGAAAGACCAGATTGTGAAGAGCTCCCTCTGGTATTCATTTCTCAAGAGGTTAGTCCTGGATGAAAGCTTTGCAGTGTAGAGGGTGTCAGGGATATATACTTCCAGAGGTTTTAATGCCAAACCGAATAAATGTGGGAGCTAAAGATTTCAAGAGGCCTGCTCTCCCCACCTGGAAAGGCTTCCCAATACAGTAAGTACCAGATGAAACAGCTGATCTGGGCAGCTAATATCATTTCTAGAGAAGTTCAGCTTGATGTTGAGCTGATGCATTTAATTTCCCCTACGAATCGGTTAGTTTTCCTGGGGGTGGACATAAATCTCACACAAATCACAACCCTTTCTTTCCCTCACTTACCATCCACCAAACCCTCTTTCGGCATTTGAAATATTTTTCATCAAAGCAAAATTAGCACAGAAACAAATGGTTTTGTGCTCTATATCTGACAAATTACCTGCATTTGCAATTGACAGAATCAGTTGTGAATCATCTCCAAGAGATTAGAAATCAGGGTAAAATCAAGTTGGAGGAGTAAAGCACAGCTTTTGCCATTAGGCAAGGTTTGGATACAAATACCACCAACCCCCGCCCCGAATTAAGAACAGCCAAAGCAATTTGATGCCATTTGAATTTTGCAGTTTAATCAATTTTTACATGATTAATAAAAAACATGCATGCGTGCACACACACAAACCACCAGCAGTTATGTTGCATTTTGTGTTGCTTGGAGGGCAGCAGCTGTAAATTCAGGACTGGGGGCATTTAAGAAATCCCAAAACAGAGCAGACAAACCTATGGGAATGCGGGGCACTTAAGAAATCCAGTGCCAAAAACAGAGCAGACAAACCTATGGGAATGCAGCTCTATTCGTGCAAACCTGTTCATAGGATTAGCTGATTAGATGTTCCAGCTGGAAGCATACAGGAAATATAAAAATCCTTCATTAAAATGGTTTTTGAAGAATTTGGAAAAGTCTGGATTGAACCCGGCTGGCTCAGGAATTCTGGGAGCTGTAGTAAAATAATAATAAAGAAAGCAAATGAAAAAATACCCATACATCTTTCTGAGCAGCTGGCTTATTGCACTACTGGCTTATTGCACTACTTACTACTCCCTTCCTCAAAGCATGAGATGCCAAAGCATGAGATGCTAAAGAAACCTTGCTTTTGATGTCATTTTAGCATCTCTTGTCATAAGGACTGAAATAAGAGGAAGTATAAGATACCCAATGTGAAGCAGTGGATAGAGTGATGGACTAGGACTCAGAAGAATGGGGTTTGAATCCCTGATCCCGCCCCCTGGAAACTACCAGGGGGCAAGTGGAACTGAGAAAGCCACTCTTTAAATATCTCACTTACCTTGAAAGTCTTGTCAGGGATGCTAAACATCACTTCTGACCTGATGGCATGTAACAGAGGGACACAAGGGGGCAGTTGGAAGAAGGGCTGGCTTCATACCCATCTAAACACTACCAGTGAAAACATCATGGTACACATGCAAGATTAAAGTTTGATTTTATAGAAAACAGGAGCATTTGGGAGAATCTCTCTCTCTCTTTTAATATTTTTTTTTAATTTCCAAAACAAATACAAGAATACAAAATATTTACTAACACAGTGCACCTCATACCCATGAGGCCCTTTGGAGCAATACTTTTATTACAAACCTCCTTTCCAAAAGTGCACTGATTGTTGCTTAGAGGCTTTCCCATTTCCTTTCACTAATACAAATTCAATAAATCTACCCCAAATAGCGTAAAAATATTTAAACTTATTTCCCCTCTTTTCATCTTAAGTTCAGTAGTCATTTTATCATTTAACGCAATGTCCCATACTTCATTATGCCAATCTTTTAATTTAATATCATTTTTGTCTTTCCATAATCTAGCTATTAATATTCTAGCACTTGTCATAAAATTAGAAATCAATTCCTTTGAGCAATAATCAAGTTCTATCTTATCAAAAATTGACGGCAAAGCAATTTTAGAATTAAGTTTGATATATTTTCCAAATGTATCACATATTTCCTTAAAAATCAATTTCCAAAATTTCTGAGTCAATTTACACTCCCACCACATATGATAATATGTGTTAATTTCTTCATCACATTTCCAACTGGCCTTAGAATAGTCTGAATTTATTATGTTCAATTTCACCGGAGTCGTGTACTACCTTAAACTAATTTTTTTAAAAAAAATTCCTCTTTTTTTAACCAACATTAATCTTAAAACTCTCATCTTTCAAATTTTTGTCCAATCCTCTATTTATTTTCTGTATTTAAATCATGTTCCCAAATTGATTTCAAACCTTCTATTTCAGTCTCTTTTTCAGCCTGTTCCAAAATTAGGTTATAAATTCTACTTACTACTCCCTTCCTCAAAGTATCTTTCTGCATGTCTTCATGTTATGATAGAAATTGTTCATACTTAGCACATTCTCTATATTTGCCATTAGTCTTCAACCATTCATTTTTCCAACTATCTAATAGGATATAATTATACCATATATTTTTTACCTTGATTACAAAATCCATCAATTAAACCCTGCCAATACCTAAACTCTTCTTCTTCTAATTGTATTGGGAGCATCCTGAATAAAAAAGTAATTTTTGGTAATAATTTCATTTTGATCATGGCAATTCTCCCAAACCACAATAGTTTCAATTTAGAATACTCCTTCAATTTATCTTTAATATCACTTTTTTCTTACTATCCCCATGATCTTGTCATTCTTTTTCTTCACCATGCTGCCATGTTATTATGACTAGTTGTTCTCACTAACTTGCTGATTAATAGTCCAGTGTGGTCAGCTAATGGGATTTGCACATTAGTGGATTCTGCCTTGACATTTGGAGACGTTGTGAGTGTTTTGAAAGAGGTCACTGGAGGCTAAGCAAACAGTCCACCTTCCTTTGGTATCTGAGTTTCCAGGCCACAAAGTGGGTGATTGAGGAAGGGGAAGACACAGCTCACAACCCACCACCAGTTCTCTGTGCAGATAGACACTAATAGCACTTACCAGTACAGAGTATTATTTGCCAGGCATTGTGAGGAAACAACAATGGAGTGAGAAAGAGGAGCCCTGATGTGGTTTCCTTCCTGGTCCTGAAATGTGCAGCCTTGTGTCCACAGTGCTATAGATAGCAGATGGGTTGGAAAAACTTAAACTTTGAAACACATTTATTATATATTTCTAGAAAACTGGAACATTTCCACTCAACAGGGCAGGCAGCTATGGCTCTTTTAAACACAAAGCATCAGTTGTATGGAGGAATGCTTGTGTTGAGTAAATAACAGTAATAATTATGAAGA